GGGGTTTGGGGTTTAGGGTTTAGGGTTCAGGGTTCAGGGTTTAGGGTTTAGGGTTTAGAGTTTTTTGTAATTTGGGGGGGCGGTTTCGAGCTTCGTAGGCCTATCCTAAACCTGACAGCCCCAAAACCCCAACCCCGAACCCCAAGCCCAAAACCGCCTAAGCCCAAAGCCCCCGACCCCAAACCCTAAAGCCCTCGAACACCCCAAACCCTAGACCCTAAGGCCCTAAACCCCTGAACCCCTAAACCCAGTTCATAAGCAAAGAAGCCCTAAACCCGCAAACCCTACACCCTTCAGCTCCAAAGCGGCCAAGCGCCCGCGGCAGGATGAAGTGAACCACTGGGAGGAGCCCCTGAATACTTTTTGGGGCTGCGAGGGGGGTGAGGGTTTGTCGAGGTTTTTGTAGGGTTCACAGGGTTTTTGTGGGGTTCTTGTCGTAGGGTTTTTGTAGGGCTTCTGTAGTCATAGGGTTTTCAGGGGTTTATCGGGTTTTGTTGGGTTTTTTCGTGGGATAGGGGTTTTAGTCCCTGGGGTGGTGCCTATAGTGTTCTTGTGACATGTTGTAGCCTTGGTGGGGTTGTTGCAGGGTTCGTAGGGTTGATAGGGCTTCAGGGTTGGAGGATTTGTGAATGGGGCTTGTGGTTGTTCGGTGTCGCAGAAGTTCACGGGCTTGGGGTTCCCTAAACCCTAAACCCTAAACCCTAAACCCTAAACCCGAAACCCTAAACCCTAAACCCTAAACCCAAAACCCAAAACCCCAAGCCCCAAACCAGCCTCGGCCCTGGGCCCCGATGTCGACTCCCTCGCCAAACCGGTAAGCCCCAAAACCCGGAAGACCCTAAACCCTAAACCCTAAACCCTAAACCCTAAACCCCAAACCCCAAACCCCAAACCCCAAACCCTAAGCCCTAAACCCTAAACCCTAAACCCTAAACCCTAAACCCTAAACCCTAAACCCTAAACCCTAAACAGCCAGGGGCCAACGGACTTTACGTAGTCGTCTCTTGCATATGGGCATCTCCCAATTGGGGTACCCCTAAACCCTGAACCCTAAACCCTAACCCCCCAAAAAGGGGTACCCCCCATTTTCGGAAACCGCTTCAAGGTTTAGGGAGTTCCCGGGCTTAGGGTTTAGGGTTTAGGGCTTCGGGTTTATGGTTTAGGGTTGAGGGTTTAGGGTTTCTCCAGGACATTCCCGGCATGGACAAGGTCATTCTCAAGGCGCAGAGCATCCTGGCAAAACGGCTGGAGGTTTTCGTGGTTGACCTAAACCCTCAACCCTCAACCCTAAACCCTAAACCCTAAGCCCTAAACCCTAAACCCCAAACCCTACCCTAAACCCCAAACCCTAAACCCCCTCCCCCCCCGCCCCCCCCCGCCACCCCCCCCCCGCCCCTCCGCCCCCCCCGCCCCCCCCGCCCCCCCCGCCCCCCCCGCCCCCCCCGCCCCCCCCCCCCCCCCCCCCGCCCCCCCCCCCCCGCCCCCCCCCCCGCCCCCCCCCCCGCCGGCGCAAAAGTTTTTTTGAGGTCTGAAGCACGAGAAGCCAATGCGCAGCCTCGAAGACCTCTTCTATGACTCGCAGCCCGAGGACCTCGAGAACTCGGAAAGCCTCTGGGTTTGTGGTTTAGGGTTTGGGGTTTGGGGTTTAGGGTTTAGGGTTTGGGGTTTGGGGTTTGGGGTTTAGCGTCGAGATCCTCGACCCCGAAATCCTGAACCCTAAGACCCTGTAAACCCCTGCCCCCTCGACCGGGGCAAATGTCCTGAACTTCACGCCTCACGCTGCGCAAGGACTTGGCTAGGTGATGGTGGCAAGGCGATTGCACAAACCTGCGGGCATCAAGGGTGGACCTGGACCCTAAACCCTAAACCCTAAACCCTAAACCCTAAACCCTAAACCCTGAAACAGCCTCTAGTCGGCAGAAGGGGCCCCCTGTGGCTAGTGAAAGACAGTTGCCGAACCTGGAGTTCCGAAGGTAGTTTCATGGGTTTAGGGTTTAGGGTTTAGGGTTTAGGGTTTAGGGTTTAGGGGCCCTTCATATGGTCCCCTAACCCTTAACTTGCTTAAGGTATATAAGTACATAAGGGGTACCCTTCCAAGGGCCCATACTAAGAGACCATGTAAATACCCGTGGAGTCGTCTTAGAGGTAGGTTCATAGTTCCCTAAACAAGAAGAGCACAACCCCTACCAAACCCTATAAAACGCTGTAAGCCTTATAAGCCCTATACACCCTAAGTATCGACCCTGTAAGCCCGTAAAAGCCCTCAACCCTATACCCTAAACCCCTAACACCCAGCCTAAGGCAGCGCCATTTAAGTCCTGGTAGCCTAAGTTACGGCCTTATAGACCTTCAACCTTGCAGCCTAAACCCTAAACCCTAAACCCTAAACCCTAAACCCTAAACTCTAAGCCCTAAACCCTAAACCCTAAGCCCTAAGCCCTAAGCCCTAAGCCCTAAACCCGAGATTCCTCATCGTTCCAACCGGAGGAGCTTCCCTGGATCCGCACTGAGTGTGTGATCGACGTGGTCCAGGCAGCAGCTTACCTCGACCAGGCCATTGTCTTCCTCTACAAGGCCCGTCGTTCACGGTCTTCGGAGTAGCCCCGTGGATCACGGTCTTCGGAATGGGTTTAGGGTTTAGTGTTTAGGGTTTAGGCTTTAGGCTTTTTTTTGGGTTTAGGGTTTAGGGTTTAGGGCTTAGGAATTAGGGGTTGGGGACTCGGTGGCGTAATCTTCACTGAGTTACAGGGCATGAGGTCTTTTGTTTACCAGCTGCTTACCTGAAGTATCGTACTTCGGCTCCTAAGCCTTGGGAGCATTCAAACCCCTTTATCAGAAACCACTTCCAAAGACCTGCAGCTGAAGACCTCCGGGGTCCAGGGTCAATCCTAAGCTAGCTCTCTCTCGCTCTCTCTCTCTCTCTCCCTCCTCTCTTTCTTTCTCTCTCTTTCTCTTTCTCTTTCTCTCTCTCCCTCTCCCTCTCCCTCTCCCTCTCTCCCTCTCCCTCTCCCTCTCCCTCTCTCTCTCTCTCTCTCTCTCTCTCTCTCTCCTACAAGATGCCCTGAGCCCTAAACTCTGAGCCAAGCCTCTAGCCCGCTTGACTCCCTGTTGAAGCACCGAAGGCTTAAAAGACCTGCCCCCGCCCGGTGTGGGACTGTTTTTGAAGGGTTTAGGGTTTAGGGTTTAGGGTTTAGGGTTTAGGGTTTAGGGTTTAGGGTTTAGGGTTTAGGGTTTAGGGTTTAGGGTTTAGGGTTTAGGGGGGTGACATGAAATACCCCAAGCCCTGAACCCCAAACCCCTTATGCTTGACTCCAACACCCTAGTGCCTCAGTCCCCCAAACCCCCCTAAATCCTGGACTCCAACTCTTCAGGGTGTAGGGCCGAAGCCCGAAACCATGCCGCACCGGCGTCTCCCAATGACCTACCATTTGTTTGGGGTTTAGGGCTAAGGGTTAAGGGTTGCACCTTGATACCTCAAGAGCACGAAGGAAGGGGCATGTTCCTGAACTCCGGTGTGCTGCTTAGGGTTGAGGGTTTAGGGTTTGGGGTTGAGGGCTTAGGGTGCTGCACGGCGGAGGTTTAGGGTTTAGGGTGTAGGGTTTAGAGTTTAGGGCTTAGGACTTAGGGTTTTTGGCTGTAGCTGGCTGACTTAGCCTTCACCCGAAAGAACGTTGCCCGAGTAATCTTGGGGTAGCTCAGGTCAAGGCAGTACAGGACACCAGCTTCTGAACCCCCTTAGGGGGTAGATAGGTAGGAATCGACACAGGTGAAGTCTGGACCCTGGACCCTAAAACCTAAACCCCATACCATAATTCCTAAACCCGAAACCCTACACCCTACACCCTGCACGCTAAACCCTAAACCCTAAACCCTAAACCCTAAACCCTAAACCCTAAACCCTAAACCCTAAACCCTCAACCCTCCACCCTACATCCTGCACCCTAAGCCCGAAACCCTGAACCCTAAACCCTAAACCCCCAGGCCATCGACTACAACGGCCTTGAGTGCCCGGACAACTCACCAGTTGGCTGCGCCGCTAGCGTCGCCGGCTTCATGGCTGCCCTTGACCCGCCCAAGACCGAAACCCTAAACCCTAGACCCTAGAACCCTAAACCCTAAACCCTAAGCCCTCGACCCTAAACCCTAAACCCTAAACCCTAAACCCTAAAACCCGAAACCCCAACCGCTGAACCCTAAGCCGCAAAGAGCCGGTCCCTGAGGCCCTATCCAGGCTTCTAAAGCCTACGTATAAAGCCAGAAATCCTGCGAACGGTGTAGGGTTTAGGGTGTGTTCAAGATTTTTTGGGTTCCACAAGAAACCTCAAACTCTGTTTGGGGTTTAGGGCTTCAGGGGTTTAGGATTTCGTGTTTGCTGTCCAGGGGCTGGGCTCTTTCCTACTGCTCCTTCCAAAACCCGTGAGCGTTGTTGATATAGGGGTTTCCGAAACTAGGCGTTTAGGGTTTAGGGTTTAGGGTTGAGGGTTTAGGGTTTAGGGTTAGGGTTGAGGGGTTCCTAGAACAAGGAGTATACGTACTTTGTCGTATGTTAGGGGTACCCCCCTATCTTGGGAAATTCCAGGGTGGGTGCGTCCTAAAGCTCCAGGGACCCTTCTGCCGCTTCTTTGGTTGAGTGTTAGTGTCTAGTCGGCTTCAGCCTCCCCAAACCCTAAAACCCTAAACCCTAAAACCCCCGAAACCCTAAAACCCTAAACCCTAAACCAAAACCCTAACCCTAAACCCTAAACCCTAAACCCGAAGCGCTAAGCCCTGCTGAGGGTGTAGGGTTCAGGCCCACTCCTACATTTCTTGTTTTTGCCCGAGGCAATGACACAAGGCTTCTGGGCCTAGGTGTTCAGGCAACAGCCTAAACCCTAAACCCCAAATAAACACCCTAAACCCCAAACCCTAAACCCAAAACCCCAAACCCCAAACCCTAAACCCTAAACCCTAAACCCTAAACCCTATATAGACCCTAAACCCCAAACCCCAAACCCCCAAAACCCCAAACCCCAAACCCCAAACCCAAAACCCCAAACCCCAAACCCAAACAAAACCCTAAACCCTAAACCCTAAACCCTAAACCCCAAACCCTAAACCCTAATCCCCAAACCCTAAGCCAAAAACCCGAAACCCCAAACCCTAAACCCTAAACCCTAAACCCCAAACCCTAAACCCTAAACCCCAAACCCCAAACCCTAAACCTAAACCCCAAACCCCAAACCTAACCCTAAACCCCAAACCCCAAACCCTCAACCCTAATCCCCAAACCCTAAACCCTAAACCCCAAACCCAAACCCTAAACCCCAAACCCAAACCCCATACCCAAAACCCTAAACCCTAAACCCTATAGGCTTCATCACCTCCATCTCCTGGATTGCCTCGTACCTGTCCTTTGCCGCGAACGCCTGTGGACAGGTGCCGGGCCTGAAAAAATTTAAGAGCCTCCGGCTCAAGCCGCCGACCCCGCCAGAGCATAGTTGAAAGGTCTAAACCCGCTCGTCGGCTCAAAGGATGCTTTCCTCATCGCATGGTTCGAAGAGCATCGCAGCCTGCTCGGCAGAATCCCAAAAAGTTGTGAAACGCTCGCGCCTCTGTGAAACGTGGGGGGAGGGAGGGGCGGGTAGGGGGTAGCACCAGGACCCAAACAGTTTAGGAGCTGAAGCAGTTTGGGGCAATTTCCGTGTGGGGGGGTGGCAGGTGGGATGGCCCTCTTTGATGCCTGATTACGATCCTTGAAGAAAGGTGGGGCGGGGGGGAGGGGTGGGGGGGGGGGGGGGGGGGGGGGGGGGGGGGGGGGGGGGGGGGGGGGGGGTGGGGGGGGGGGGGTTTTGGGTTTTTTCCCTATGCCCTGTGCGAAACCGCCTATGGTCCATGAGTTTACGCGGTGTGGGTGGTTTGGCCCTCCACGGAAAAGCTGCCGGGGTACCCCCCCCCCCCCCCTTTTGCGAAAGTAAGGAAGGAAAAAGGGAGGTTTTCACCTCCAGAAACCTATCCAACACACCGCCAGGGTCGGCGGATGCACAAACCCCTGAACCCTAAACCCCAAACCCTAAACCCTAAACCTTAAACCCCAAACCCTAAACCCTAAGCCCCAAACCCTGAGCCCTAAACCCCTTAGGCCTTCTTTGAGAGCCGCTGTGAAGGAGGGCTCCCGTGTTCGTTCCAAAGTTTCTGCTGGACTATGCTCCTAGACTGGGTTTAGGGTTTAGGGTTTCGGGTTTGGGGTTTAGGGTTTAGGGTTCAGGCTTTAGTTAGGGTTTAGGGTTTAGGGGTCTGTGCATATCGGGCTCCTTCTTGCCATAAGACCCTAAATCCGAAACCCTAAGCCAAGACTCCAAACACCAAACCCTAAGCCCTAAGCCCTAAGCCCTAAGCCCTAAGCCCTAAGCCCTAAGCCCTAAACCCTAAGCCCTAAACGCTAAACCCTAAACCCTAAACCCTAAACCCTAAACCCTAAACCCTAAACCCTAAACCCTAAACCCTAAACCCTAAACCCTTAAACCTAAACCCTAAACCCTAAACCCTAAACCCTAAACCCTAAACCCTAAACCCTAAACCCTAAACCCTAAACCCTAAACCCTAAACCCTAAACCCTAACCTAAACCCTAAACCCTAAACCCTAAACCCTAAACCCTAAACCCTAAACCCTAAACCCTAAACCCTAAACCCTAAACCCTAAACCCTAAACCCTAAACCCTAAACCCTAAACCCTAAACCCTAAACCCTACGCAAGTTAGCAACGAATGCGGAGGCGGTCAACTCCGGGGCCCTCTGTGCTGGCGACTTCACCGCCCTCATGGCCAACTTCGGAGAGAGACCCGGGCTGCCGTAAACCCTAAACCCTAAACCCTGAACCCTCAACCCTCAACCCTACACCCTAAACCCTAAACCCTAAACCCTAAACCCTCAACCCTCAACCCTCAACCCTAAACCCTCAACCCTAAACCCTCAATCCTAAACCCTCAACCCTAAACCCTAAACCCTAAACCCCAAACCCCAAACCCTAAACCCTAAACCCTAAACCCTAAACCCGAAGTAGGGGGTAGTTGGGAGTTTGGGGGTTCTGGGAGACCGTCGACTTGGGGTTTAGTGAGCAAGCCAGGGACCTGCTCAGGCAAATGCAGCGAGGCAAGGGTCCAAGGGTTTAGGGTTTAGGTTTTAGGGTTTAGGGTTTAGGGTTTAGGATGTAGGGTTCAGGGTTCAGGGTTTAGGGTTCAGGGTTTAGGGTTTAAGTTCAGTGATCATGCTCTCAGTTCCCCATGAGTTAGCAAATTAAGGGTGCTATGCGAGCTGTTTTGCTAAACGTGTCTGTTTTGGCAACTTTACTTACCTTCCTCTTGCAACCCTAAACCCTAGACCCGAGACCCTAAACACTAAACGCTAATCCTTGACCTGTGAGAGCTTCCTTCGAGGCTGAGGGCTTAGGGTTAGGAAGACTCCCATTGACAGGGCGCAGGGCCTCTGGCGGCGCGTGGTTCGGCGTCAGTCGCTGTTCGGGTTTCGGTTTCGGGTTTAGGGTCTAGGGTTTAGGGTTTAGGGCTTAGAAATTTCGGCATCTTGCTTTCAAATGGTCAGTTCTCCAACTGATGTCAGTTTTACCCCCCCCCCCCCTCCCTCTACACAAAATTCGGTAAACTGTAGAGGACCCCGCCTTCTGATCATGTCGTCGCAATTGTGCACAGCAAGGGACTAAAGGACGGATCAGGGACCTTGGGGGTTACTTAGGGGGGCTAGTAGGTAGATAGGGACTAGGGTTTAGGGTTTAGGGTTTCGGGTTTAGGGGTTATATATAGGGGAAGAAGCCTAAGGGTCCTTCCTTGTATCCCTCCATCGATGGCTGTTTCAAGGTTCGTATGCGGGATGGGGCTCTGCACATGCATACGCTGTAAGACCAGAATCCTTTACGCCCCAAGCCCCACATTCTCCGAAACCCCACAAAAGGGCTTCTAAAGGGTGTAGGGTGTAGGGTTTAGGGTTTAGGGTTTAGGGTTTAGGATTGCTAAGGGAACTCAATACATCCCAATCTCGGCCCTGCCTGCCAACAACGGCGTGTTGGTCACAAATGCCTTATGAACGAGGAGCCCCTTCCCCTAAACCCTAAACCCCTAAACCCTAAACCCTAAACCCTAAACCCTAAACCCTAAACCCTAAACCCTTGCCCCTGCCGTCGCAGCCCCACCGACTGCATCCTGAACCTTAATCCTAACACCCCGAACCCTACGCCCTGAGGCTCTATCAGGTTTTGGGTTTAGGGTTTGGGGTTTAGGGTTTAGGGTTCAGGGTTTAGGGTTTAGGGTTAAGGGTTGAGGGTTGAGGGTTCAGGGTAACTCAACACCAAACCGAACCCTCAAGCCCAGGATCGCCACCGTGGGTGCCGCTGTCAAGGCGGACTGCGACTTCGGCAAGAGCCCTATCTCAAGGCGGTTTAGGGTTAAGGGTTAAGGGTTAAGGGTTTAGGGTTTAGGGTTTAGGGTTTAGGGTTTTCAGTTTGTCGGGTTTCCGGGTGCAAACGTCTATTTTGTTGGCCTGTGTGTGTCCCCAACCTGAACCCACAAGCAAGGAACGTCATCCCCTAAACCCTAAACCCTAAACCCTAAACCCTAAACCCTAAACCCTAAACCCTAAACCCTGAACCCTAAACCCTAAACCCTAAACCCTAAACCCTAAACCCTAAACCCTAAACCCTAAACCCTAAACCCAAGGAACGCCATCAGCATCCTCACGAATCCGGACCCCGTGAGCCCGCCGTGGGTGCAGTTCGTCCCGGGCGGCGCTGGACCCGAGGCCGAGAAGATCCTGGCGATCAAGGGCCACCAGGAGGCTGCCGGGGGTTTTAAGGTGGGTTTAGGGTTTAGGGTTTAGGGTTTAGGGTTTAGGGTTTAGGGTTTTAAGGAGGCGAGGGTGGTGAGTTCGGGTTTTAGGGGGAGTTTGAAGGGGGCTTGAAGGGGGTGTTAAGGGCTTAGGGTTAGGAAGTGTGTATAAACCCCTAAACGAGTTTCCTAACCCCCTGAGCTTGTGTGGGTTGATAAGTCTAAGCCCATAAACCCCTAAAACTCAAGCCCTAAACCCTAAACCCTAAACCCTAAACCCTAAACCCTAAACCCTAAACTCTAAACCCCAAACCCCGGCTGGGCCGAGAAGAGGCGAACCGCAACCGTGGCTTCGACATCGCGCAGTGCGTGGCGGACGTGACCAACTCGGCCCTTTGGTGGCTAAAGGGGGTTTAAGAGGGCTTCTTAAAGGGGGGCTCAGGGTTTGGGGTTTAGGCGGTCTAACAAGGGCTTCAAAAGGGCGTGAAGAGGGGTTTAGAAGGGCCTCAACATTTGACAAGGGTTTTGAAGGGCTCTGAAATTGGACAAAAAAGGGGTGTGAGAAGGGAGAAGAAGGGGTGTCAAAACGATTTTGAAGGGGGGACTTCGGATTTTCGGGGATTTTCGTGATTTTGGGGACTTTCGGGGTTTGGGAGTTTAGGATCCAGGGGGTTTGGATTTGGGGGTTTTGGTTTACAGGTACTGAAAAGATTGCACAACTCAAGATGGTCTCCAAACCCTACACCACCCCCCCAAAGCGTACGACCCCAACCTCTAGACCCTAAACCCTAAAACCAGATCTCCAAACTAAAGCCCCAAAACCCTAAGCACCCCAAAAACCCCCAAACCCTAACCTCAAACCCCAAACCTAACCCCGAACCCCTAAACCCTAAACCCCTAAACCCCTAAACCCTAAAACCCTAAAACCCTCAAACCCTCAAACCCTCAAACCCTCAAACCCTCAAACCCTCAAACCCTCAAACCCTCAAACCCTCAAACCCTCAAACCCTCAAACCCTCAAACCCTCAAACCCTCAAACCCTCCAACCCTCAAACCCTCAAACCCTCAAACCCTCAAACCCTCAAACCCTCAAACCCTCAAACCCTCAAACCCTCAAACCCTCAAACCCTCAAACCCTCAAACCCTCAAACCCTCAAACCCTCAAACCTAAACCCTAAACCCTAAACCCCTAAACCCTAAACCCTAAACCCTAAACCCTAAACCCTAAACCCTAAACCCCAAGACAGGCTTCCTACATTGTCCGCGTCATCCTCCAGATCCGCACGGCAGCCTCAGCCTGTCCCGACCCGAAGTGCCTTCGGCAGAGGTGTGGAGCTTTCTATCGTTCCGGTAGGGTTTAGGGCTAGGGTTTAGGGCTAGGGTTTAGGGCTAGGGTTTAGGGTGTAGGCTTTAGGGTTTAGGGTTTCGGGTTTCGGGTTTGGGGTTTAAGGGTTTGGGTTGGGGTTTGGGCCTAGGGTCTAGGGGTTTAGGGTTTAGGGTTTCTGTCGTTCCTGTAGGAATAGTTTTATGTTTGCAATGAGGTTCTTGGGGGCCCTAGAATCAGTGCTGTGGGGTTTGGGGTGCTTGGTTTTGGGGTTTAGGGTTTAGGGTTTAGGGTTTAGGGTTTAGGGTTTAGGGTTTAGGGTTTAGGGTTTCACGGAGCAGGGCATTGGAAAGTTTTGGGGTTTTACATGTTTCCTTGAGGCATGGTGTTTAGTTTTTTTGCTTATATCTAAACCCAAGAAAACACGTTTAAGCAAAACACACATTTTTCATGGTTGTTCATAGGGGAATATAGGTTTGGGTTGAGCGTTTCAAGTTGGCATGTTCCCCCTGATACTTTCAGCCCTGAATCGGGATTATCATACCCTAAACCCCAAACCCCAAACCCCAAACCCTAAACCCTAAACCCTAAACCCTAAACCCTAAACCCTAAACCCTAAACCCTAAACCCTAAACCCTAAACCCTAAACCCCATACAGTAGGCGGGGGGGGGGGGGGGGGGGGGGGGGTACTATATTCCCTGTAAAGGAGCTGTTAGCATAAGGGGGAACATCCCAAGCTTTAGGGTTTCAGGATTTAGCATTATACCCCAGCACCCTAAACCCTAAACCCCAAACCCTAAACCCCAAACCCTAAACCCTAAACTCAGTGTGGTTTTGGGTAGAAGGTTTCAGGGGTTAGGGCTTAAACCCTAAACCCTAAGCCCCAGACCCCAACCCTAATCCCCAAACCCTAAACCCTAAACTCAGTGTGGTTTTGGGTAGAAGGTTTCAGGGGTTAGGGCTTAAACCCTAAACCCTAAGCCCCAGACCCCAACCCTAAACCCCAAACCCTAAACCCTAAACTCAGTGTGGTTTTGGGTAGAAGGTTTCAGGGGTTAGGGCTTAAACCCTAAACCCTAAGCCCCAGACCCCAACCCTAAACCCCAAACCCTAAACCCTAAACTCAGTGTGGTTTTGGGTAGAAGGTTTCAGGGTTTAGGGCTTCAGGGGGTTTATGGCTTCAGTGGCTCTGGACATCAGGAGGGCCAAGCACTTTGTGCTTCAGGATCTCAAGCACAAAATTGAAGGACCGGAAGCAAGCTCCACCCCAGTATCCTCGAAAAGGTAGCAAAGAAAAGGAAGCAGAAACACAACCACCGACTCAACGCCTTGCGGAGGCAGATCAATGGCGTCCGAAACCGATGGTTTCGAAGGCCGATTGCGCGACGAGCGAGGAACGAGCGAGGAAGCGCCCGGCCAGGTGTAAGACGCCAGGGCGACCCATCGGCTTGCATGTAGCACTCCAGGCGATTCCTGAAGAACAACGGAACGAGCGGCGTTTGCAGTGCAGTCGCCGCATCTTCAAGTCGGTAAGACAACACTCAACCCTAGACTCCCTAAACCCTAACTCCCTAAACCCTAAACACTAAACCCTAAACCCTAAACCCTAAACCCTAAACCCTAAACCCTAAACCCTAAACCCTAAACCAACCCTAAATCTCCCAAAAACACCCTAGGATGCCCTACAACCTACACCCCCCAAATCTAAAGCTCAGGGTGCGGCTAAACCCTAAAACCCTAAAACCCTAAAACCCTAAAACCCTCAAACCCTAAAACCCTAAAACCCTAAACCCCAAACCAAAAATCGTAAACCCTAAGTCCTAAACCCTGAACCCTAAACCTAAACCCTAAACCCTAAGTCCTAAACCCTAAACCCCTAAACGAGGGTTTGGGTTTTAGGGTTCTAGGTTTTTTGGGGTTTTTAGGGTTTTACGGTTTCAGGGTGTTCAGGGGTGGTAGGGTTACAGGGTTTCAGGGTTTGAGGCTGTTGAGTGGGTGGTAGGCACAATGCCGCTGGGCCCGGGCCCAGGTCGGTCTCATTCCCCTTTTTTGGGTTTAGGGTTTAGGGTTTAGGGTTTAGGGTTTAGGGTTTAGGGTTTAGGGTTAGGGTTTAGGGTTTAGGGTTAGGCTCCCATGAAGACAAGAGGGACACCCGGTTCATGTCTACATGACTCGAAACTCTAGAAGCCGAACCCTATACCCCCAAAGGCCCTTGACCCCGTAAGACTCTAAACCCTAAACCTTGAACCCTTCAACCCTAAACCCCCTAAGCCCCTAAATTACCCAAGAATATTCCCTAAACCCTAAAGCCTTAAACACTGAAATCCTAAATCTGCACCCTAAACCCGAAACCCTAAACCCTAACCCCCTAACCCTACGTCCAAGAGCCCAGGGCCTGCGCCATCAACATCATGAACATCATCTCCTCCTTCGCCTGGATCTCTCAGTTCACGCCTGGAGCCAAGCCTCTGGTGGCTCTTTCTTTAGGGTTTAGAGTTTTGGGGTTAGGGTTTAGGGTTTAGGGTAGTCCCTAAACCCTAAACCCAAAACCCTGAACTCTAAACCGTAAACCCCAAACCCCAAACCCTAAACCCTAAACCTTAAACCCTAACCCTAAACGCGTAGTAGTAGAGTAGGCAGCCTTTAACTTTTTTTGGGGCACCATTGTGCCTGTATAATCCCAAAGGTTAACCTCAGTTCCCCCCAAGGATATTGGACAACTATGTTTAGGGTTTTGGGCTGAGAGGTCTACGTAGGTTTAGAGTCTTTTAGGGGCTTACGGGTTTTTGGGCTCGGGGTTGATGGGTTTCGCTTCGGGGGTGGAGGGTTTTAGGGGCTTAGGGTTTTAGGGGTTAAGCCCTAAACCCTAAACCCTGAACCCTAAACCCTAAACCCTAAACCCTAAACCCTAAACCCTAAACCCTAAACCCCCCTAAACCCCCCCAAACCCCCTAAACCCCTCAAAACCCCCCTAAACCCTAAACCCCTGAACCCTGAACCCTGAACCCTAAACCCCAAACCCCAAACCCCAAACCCCAAACCCCAACCCCATACCCCAAACGCGGGCCCTAACCCTAAACCCTAAACCCAAAACCCAAAACCCTGGCCTCAACCCCTCTCGGCCTCTCAGGGCCCTCGCTGTGTCGGACTGCCAAGTCGGTGCTGACCAGAAGGCCTCGGAATTAGGAGGGGGTTTACTATAGCCGCTATTGCCCCATCAGGAACCTTTTTTTATTTAGAGAAAACTCAAGGGTAATATGAAGCATATGTCGTTTTTATGAAGGTTCTACTAAGGCACGTTTAGGTTTATGGTTTGGAGGGTTTTAGGGGTGTTGAGAGTGTTTGCCAAGGTTCTTGGGATGCTTTCAGGGGTTGCGAGTTTAGGTGCTTTTGATGGTTTGCGGTTCTTGTGTATAGACTTAGACCTATAGCTTTACCTCGGTTGTTTGCTTTGGTGTTGTCTTGAGGGTTGGAGTTGTGTTTGTTTCTTCAAGGCTTTTAGGGCTAGAGAGGTCTTCACGGCTATATTTGGATCAGCATGTCCGGATCGATGTGTGTGTGTGTGTGTGTGTGTGCTAAGTGCGCTGCGTAATCTTCGGGCCCAGGGTTCGTAAGAGGATCAAGGTTGAAGGGTGCAGAGTTCGCAACACCCCAGTTACCCTGGCTCCGGCTCGCGATGAACGTAAACCCTACTGCGACGAAGCGCTGCAACCCTAAACCCTAAACCCTAAACCCTAAACCCTAAACCCTAAACCCTAAACCCTAAACCCTAAACCCTAAACCCTAAACCCTAAACCCTAAACCCTAAACCCTAAACCCCAAACCCTAAACCCTAAACCCTAAACCCTAAACCCTAAACCCTAAACCCTAAACCCTAAACCCTAAACCCTAAACCCTAACCCTACCCCCTAAACCCTGAACCCTGAACCCTGAACTCTGAACCCTGAACCCTGAACCCTGAACCTTGAACCTGATCTCCACATCTGCAGCCATGTCTCATCCTCGCGATGTGTAAGGTTCCTTGCTTGGCTGATTGGGTGGTCTAAACCCAGAGCCTTGAACCCTAAACGTCAAGCTCGAGCTACCCTAAACCCTGAACCCTAAGCCCGGAGCCCTGAACTCTGAACTCCTGAACCCTGAACCCCCACGCAAACAGAAACCCTAAACCCGAAACCCGTAACCCCAAACCCTAAACCCTGAACCCTAAAAACCCCCAGAAAAACACAGAATCCTCGAACCCGGTTGACATCACGTCCCTTTGGGGCCTAAACCCTTAACCCTCAACCCTCAACCCTCAACCCTCATCCCTAAACCCTAAACCCTAAACCCTAAACCCTAAACCCTAAACCCTAAACCCTAAACCCTAAACCCTAAACCCTAAACCCTAAACCCTAAACCTCCAATCCCCGTGGGTAGGCTCTGTGCACTGCCGACATCTCGGTGCCTCGGCCTTTTTCAGGGGTTTAGGGTTTAGGGTTTAGGGCTAGGGTGTAGGGTTTAAGGTTTAGGGTTTAGGGTTTGGGGTCTAGGGTTTAGGGTTTAGGGTTTAGGGTTGAGGGTTGAGGGTTGAGGGTTGAGGGTTGAGGGTTGAGGGTTGAGGGTTGAGGGTTGAGGGTTGAGGGTTGAGGGTTGAGGGTTGAGGGTGAGAGTTGAGGGTTTAGGGTGGAGGGTTTAGGGTAACTTGGTAGCCCACCGGTACCCTTTTCCTTTTTTGGTTCAAGGTTCCCTTAATTATAAAGTAATCAACCACACAAAGGGTATTATTGTTGTGGTATGGTGACTGGGCTAGCAAGCACGGGTGCGAAGCTCAGCTCGAGGTGTGTGGCCCAGTTAGGGTTTGTAGAGCGCAGGGTTTAAAGGGTTTACATATGGGTTTGTAGGGTTTATAGGGGCTTATAGGGGTTAGGGGGTTTAAGTTTGTAGGGTTTATAGTGTCTGCAGGGTTTATACGGTTTAGAGTTTTTTGGTTGTTATGTTTGAAAAGGGTTTGTAGGATTTAGTGTTTCTAGGGTTGTGGTTTCGTGATGACGGCTGCGGCGACCAGTGCAGCTTCCACGCAAAGTACATCAACCGCGGCGTTTCCTTGCCCCGCGGCCGCTTCAACGCAAGCCTAAACCCTAAGCCCCAAACCCTAAATCCTAAACCCTAAACCCTAAACCCTAAACTCTACACCTCGAATTTGTATCAGCATCGCCGGCCCTCATTATCTGACCACCTCCGCGCCATGCAGCGGAGTGGGACAATTCCAGCCAATATCCGGCTTCCAGGAGGTCAGGAACCGCCTAAACCCTAAACCCTAAACCCTAAACCCTAAACCCTAAACCCTACACCCTACACCCTACACCCTAAACCCTAAACCCTAAACCCTAAACCCACGAGCAGCAGTTGGAGCAGCTGCATCTTCCAGGTCCTGCACACTTAGGGGCAGCATGAGCCCGAGCACCAGTTCGACCGGCTGGGACTACCAGGTCATGGCACACTTAGGGGTTTAGGGTTTAGGGTTTAGGGTTTAGGGTTTAGGGTTTAGGGTTTAGGGTTTTGGGTTTAGGGCGGTTCGGGTTTAGGGCTTATAGGATTCAGGATTTCCTTGTTAGGGTTTCATCTGAAGGGTCCTAGACCCTGAAACCATCAAAGCCACAAACTTCAGAAAGGCCAAGAACACTTACCTAGAAAACCCCTGTAAAACCCTGAAGCCCTAAGCCCTAAGCCCTAAACCTAAACTCGAAACCCTCCCAAACACCAAGACCCCAAACCCCAGACCCTAAACCCCAAACCCTAAACCCTGAACCCTGAACCCGAACACCAAGACCCTAAACCCCAAACCCGAAGCCCCAAACCCTAAACCCCAAACCTCAAACCCTAAACCCCAAACCTTAAGCCCTAAACCCCAAACCCTAAACCCCGAACCCTAAACCCGAAACTCCAAACCCCAAACCCTAAACTCTGAACCCCAAACCCTAAACCCCAAACCCGAAACCCCAAACCCCAAACCCTATACCCTAAACCCCGAACCCTAAACCCCAAACCCCGAACCCTAAACCCCAAACCCTAAACTCTATATAAACCCCAAACCCTAAACCTCCCCTACGGGTTCACTTCCAACGTGGTTCTTGGGAAGGTAAATGTTAATAAACGCGAGGGTTTTGGTCAAGAAGCCGTTTTATGTTACTTGGGAGGACATAGGTTTTGTTGTGTTGTCTTGTCTGCTCACTGTGAGAAGCAGGAGTAACGGTTGAGGAGTAGTCAGAGCGAATAAGAGGAAGTCACTTGTAATGGAGTTGAACCAGGGATTGAAGCAGCGATGGCTCCTGTTGCACGCGCTCACACATGTGCTGTTACTGCGACTTGCCGGGGCATTTTGGCGAATTCCTATGTGGAACTAGATGGCCATCACGATGCGCCGTGTCTGTTATCGTTTTTGCCGTATTATGAGGGCTAGGGTAAAAAGTTTTACAAAACCCAGAGGCTTCAGAGGTGAAGAGCTTTGGATTAGACGTGATTACCCCCCCCCCCACCCCCCACCCCCCCCCCCACCCACACCACCCCCCCCCCACCCCCCCCCCCACCCCCCCCCCCACACCCCCCCCCCCCCCCACCCCCCCCCCCCACCACCCCCCCCCCACCCCCCGCAACCCCAAAACGTTTTGCGAGCAAAGATTGCACAGGACAGCCGACAGCACGTCAAACCGTACGCATGCGGAAATGTGGCACCTGCAGCATTTTTGTGAGAGGCGACAGAAACCGTGAAAACGTGCTTGCGTTTTGCACCTGGTGCAAAACGCAAGCACGGAAGAATTTTCCGCAGATACACCTCTTGGGTCTGTGGGTTCTCGCATGAGTAAAAACCATGCAAGAACCGATGCTTTTGAAGCATTTTGGAGAACACAAGCCGGGGCCCCAGCTGACAGTGTGAGCCTGTCACCCGTGGATTCCCCACGTTGCAACTGAACCCGTCAGCTAAACCTCAAACTGCAAACCCTAAACCCCAAACTCTAAACCCCAAACCCTAAACCCCAAACCCTAAACCCCAAACTCTAAACCCCAAGCTCCAAACCGCAAACCCTAAACCCCAAACTCTAAACCCCAAACCCTAAACCCCAAACCCTAAACCCCAAACCCTAAACCCCAAACCCTAAACCCCAAACCCTAAACCCCAAGCCCCAAACCCCAAACCCTAAACCCCAAACCCTAAACCCTAATCCCTAAACCCCAAACCCCAAACCCCAAACCCTAAACCCCAAACCCTAAACCCTAATCCCTAAACCCCAAACCTCAAACCTGAAACTGGGATGGAGCTAGGACATGGTTGCAGCGGTCACCAACGGCCCTGCGGCCGGCGTCGCCTCCACCTCCGCCGCTTTGTAGCAGCTTTGGGTTTAGGGTTTAGGGTTTAGGGTTTAGGGTTTAGGATTTAGGGTTCAGGGTTGAGGGTTGAGGGTTGAGGGTTGAGGGTTTAGGGTTTAGGGCTTCGTTGGTTTAGGGTGTGTGGAATTAGGATTTGGGGTTTAGGGTTTAAGGTTTAGGGTTTAGGGCTTTCGGGCTCAGGGTTTGGGAATTGGGGCTTAGGGTTTAGGAGTTGGGGTTTAGGTTTTAGGGTTTCGGGGTTTAGGGTTGAGGGTTTTGGGCTTTGGGGTTGAGGGTTCAGGATTCAGGGTTTAGGGTTTGTAGCTTTGGGGGGTTGGCCTTCAAGGGGCTAGGGCTTCAACGTGTATGAAGGGCATTGTGTGTGCGTGCGTGCGCAGGTTGGGGGGTCTCGTCTGGAAGGGTCAAGGTTTGTTTCTTCTTTGGTGGCTATGAGGGCATGAGGGTTTTTGGGGTGGCTGTTCTGCATTTGAGCCCTCTTGTAGAGAGCTTTTGGCAATCGAATTCTCGTATGCAAAGGACCCCTCATCTGAACCCTTGCAGAACCCTAAACCCAATTAAACGCTATAAGCCCTAAAACCTAACGCGCCCTGCACCATAAGCCTGCGCAGGTTGTTTCAGAGATCTTTGTGTTCTCAGGCTGACAAGGTTGAGGGCTTGTAGAGCCTATAGGACATGGTTTACATACAGGGTTCATAAGAAACCCTAAACCCTAAACCCTAAATTTAAGAGCCTCCGGCTCAAGCCGCCGACCCCGCTGGAGCATAGTTGAAAGGTTTAAACGCGTTCGTTAGGTCAAAGGATGCCAAAGTTGGTGGGGGGGGGGGGGGGCGGGGGGGGGGGGGGGGGGGGGGGGTGGGGTGGGGGGGTGGGGGGGGGGGGGGGGGAGGGGGGGGCCCCACCCCCCAACCGTTTTGGGGGGGTAAGGAGGGAAAGAGGGAGGTTTTCAAAAACCCTAAACCCTAAACCCTAAACCCTAAACCCTAAACCCTAAACCCTAAACCCTAAACCCTAAACCCTAAACCCTAAACCCTAAACCTTCATCCATCCTCCGATGCGCCAGGACTGTGCCGACCTCCCGGACCCAAGCGCCGAGGAGATGCACCTCCCCATGGACTGAGGAGGCTGTTTAGGGTTTAGGGTTTAGGGTTTTAGGGTTTAGGGTTTAGGGTTTAGGGTTTAGGGTTTAGGGTTTAGGGTTTAGGAATAGGGTTCGCTGTAAGTGGGGGGCGGGGGGGGGGGCTTTCTTGGGGCTTGGAGTGTTTCAAGTTTAAACTTTGGCCGTAGGTGGGTGGATTCGGGGGTGTCTGACATGCAGGGCTTGTTAGGGTTAGGGCTTTGGGTGCGTTGGGTGTGTGGGGGAGGGGGATTGTGGCATCTTTCGGCTTGAATTGGCTTTCGGGGATTTCCTTTCACCCGAAGCAGGCAAGGGCACGCCCCTAAGCCCGAAGCCCTAAACTTTAAGCCCTAAACTTTTGACCCCAAACCCTAAACCCTAAACCCTAAACCCTAAACCCTAAACCCTAAACCCTAAACCCTAAACCCTAAACCCACGGCTTTAGGTGTGGCAGGTCGAGGGGCTCAGGATTTTTTCGCCACAAGGGTTCCGAAGCCTGACCCTCAGCGCCAACACTTGAAGGCTCATGGTACTTATTAACCAATGAAAACTGTACTTATAGCTGTACTTATAAGTCCTTTAAGTGCCCTAATAGAGTTGTAATTTTGGCTATAAGTACAGTTATAATTGGTTACTAAGTACCATGAACCTCCAAGCAACCCCCCCCCCCTCCGAAAACCCCCGCTGCTATTTGCTTATGAACCTATAAACCCCCAACCCTAAGCCCTAAACCGAACATAATTTTTCCCTTACAAGGGCAATACAGGGATTATTGCGTTTGTTGTTAGTATTACTCTTTTTTTTTTTTGGGGGGGGGGGGGGGGGTTCTTGAGCAAACAGTAGATGGTCGGAAGGGTTTGCGTGTTTAGGGGGCCTCGGGGTGCGGAGTGGGAGGGCTTAGGGTAGGATTCAGGGATGCCGAAGCCCTGATCCCATGGACGTTAGGGTTCAGGGTTTGGGGTGTAGGATTTAGGGGGTTTAGGGTCTAGGGCTTGGGGTTTAGGGTTTGGGGTTTAGGGTTTAGGGTTCAGGGTTTGGGGTTTAGGGCATGAACTCGTTCGGGCTTGGGACTCTTTCTATGTTTGCCTTCCACCTCATACACGAGCACGGCAAGCAACACGAGCCTGATCGCTTCGCCAAAGTTCGTGCCGAATCTAACCTCTTGTGCTTCAATATTGCTGAAGAACGACGTAATAGTAATCATAGTAATAGCAACATTTAATAGTTCTAGCAGTAGTAACAAGAATAGTAACAATAATCATAAGAACCACAAAAACAATCATAGTAGTTCTGCTATTACTATGACTATTACTATTGCTATTACTATTACTATGACTATTACTATTACTATTACTATTACTATTACTATTACTATTACTATTACTATTACTATTACGATTACTATTATTATGATTATGATGATGATGATTATTATTATTTAAAAATAATCATGATCATGATAACCAGCAGGAAGGTGATGCAGACCTTGCTTACCAGACCATCCTGGGGGTCCGTCGGCTGGGCCCCTAAACCCTAAACCCCAAACCCGAAACCCCAAATACTCAACCCGAAAAAACCGTAAGAAACTGCCCTTAAAACCCTAAACTCCTAAACCCTAAACCCTAAACCGTAAACCCCAAACCCGAAACCCTAAGTACTCAACCCAAAAAACCGTAAAAAAGACTGCCCTTAAAACCCTAAACTCCTAAAGCCCTAAACCCTAAACCCTAAACCCTAGACCCTAAACCCTAAACCCTAAACCCTGAACCTTCAAGTAGGCCTCCTGCCCACAGCTGCCAGGCGCGGCGGCCTGAGGAGAGCCGTTTTGACAACAACTTGTTGGGCACTGGGTTGCCTGGTCGCCCGAAAGCCTAGACTTAGGGTTTAGGGTTTAGGGTTTAGGGTTTAGGGTTTAGGGTTTAGGGGTTTAGGGTTTAGGGTTTAGGGTTTAGGGTTTAGGGTTTAGGGTCCCTAGACCCGAAACATCAAGCCCTAAACCCGAAACCTTAAGCCCTAAGCCGTAAACCCTAAACCGGAAACCTTAAGCCCTAAGCTCGAAACCCTAAACTCCGTAGGAGTTCGGTTTTGGGGGAGTCAGTTCGCCCTGCCACTTGCTCTACGCCCCTGGCTTCCTACGCTTGAAGAGCTCAATAGGGCAGGCTAAAAGGTTTCTAGTGTTTAGGGTTTAGGGCTAGGGTTTAGGGTTTAGGGTTTCGGGTTTAGGGCTCAGGGCTTAGGGTTTAGGTTTAGGGTTTGCGGTTTAGGGTTTATTAGGGCTTGGGGTCTAGGGCTTAGGGTGTACACCTGATCCCACAACTCTAAAGCCCTACAGGCCCTGTAGGTTATAGGGTCTAGGGTCTGGGGTTTAGGGTTTAGGGTTTAGGGTTTAGGGTTCAGGGTTCAGGGTTTAGGGGTTTAGGGTTTAGGGTTTAGGGTTTTAGGTTTTAGGTTTTAGGGTTTAGGGTTTAGGGTTTAGGGTTTAGGCTAGGTGTTCAGCGTGAAGTGTTCGGCGACATGGCGCAAATCTCAGCGATGCCCCAAGTAGCATCGGATTGCCGTGCGGCTTCTTGCAGTTCGGAGCTTAGGCTTGAGTGCTAGGACAACCCTAAACCCTAAACCCTAAACCCTAAACCCTAAACCCTAAACCTTAAACCCTAAACCCTAAACCCTAAACCCTAAACCCTGAACCCTGAACCCTGAACCCTAAACCCAAACCCTAAACCCTAAACCCTAAACCCTAAACCCTAAACACTAAACCCTAAACCCTAAACCTTAAACCCTAAGCCCTAAACCCTAAACCCTAAACCCTAAACCCTACCTTGAAACTTGGTTTCCCTTAAGACCAGCCCGATGATGAAGTCTGATACATGGAACCTAGATCATGTCCATTCCTATCCACTAGCCCCCAAAACCCTCAACCCTAAACCCCAAGCCCTAGACCCAAAATCCGAAGCCCCAAGCCCTAAACGCTGAACCCTACAACATGAAACCCTAAACCCTAAACCCTAAACCCTAAACCCTAAACCCTAAACCCCCAAGACCCTGAACCCTTTTTTGTTTTAGGGCTTCGGGTTTGGGGCTTATTGGGCTTTAGGGTCTCGGTGTTCCAAATTCAGGATGCTCAGAGCCTATCACTAGGATTTGCAACCGCCATGATGCGCCCGCGGACGATGCATTTTAATGTCTTGCAGAGACTGGTACAGACTTTTCAGAGGCTGCCTTCGGCAGAAGGTTCCGCCGGCACCACACCCACGTCGAGATGACCTGCATCCCTGTTAGGGTTCAGGGTTCAGGGTTTAGGGTTTAGGGTTTAGGGTATAACCCCACTAAGTGACAGGAGCATAGGTTATGATCATGTCTACTTTACTTACTGGTTTTCATAATTGTGTTTTTAGAGGTCATTCAGTTTCTTTTCTTCGAAAGAAGAGACTTCGTGCGCGAACTTACGCCTTTTAAACAATCAGAAAGAGGAAAAGCAAAGCACGATGAACTTCGAACATTTAATGTAGTTGTTTTTGGTATGTGTTCTATCCTTCAGTCACAACAGCTTTCTTGGAGGTCTGAATGAGTATATCGTAGATCCAGAGGTGAACGGTTTCCTTAACTCCTCAAGCCCTTATCCCTAGCCCTAGGAAAGCAGAGATGCAGGGTGGCGGAGTGTAAAGCCGAAAGTGAAAACTCTGACCCAGAGTGTAAATCCTAAACCCTAAGCCCCTCGGCTTCTCGACATGGGGGCGGGACATACGTCTTCCATGGTGCTTCTGCCAGTGGACACGCGCTGCAACACCGTTGTCAGTGGCACTGTGTCTTGCCGCCTGCCCCTGCCACAGAGAACTCCAGAATGTTGGAACATGGTTTAAGGATGGTTAGAGCTGGAATTCCTTTT